TGTTTGCGATTCTTTAGCATCTCTTCATATAGATTCATTTTTTTTAACCATTATTAGTTATACTTTCCCGCTAACCACATGTGAAGCTATTTCCATCTATATCAGTTTATCTTCTCCTTGGGCTTTATTTAACCCCCCCAGGTAACATAGGACGGGACAGGTGCATCAAGCTCTCAGGAGAAGTGTAGATTATATTGTATATGAAGGGAATAAAAGTGAGAGAGGTGTATTTTTGTAAAGGTACACCAACCACCTGAGTGAGTCTTCTATAGTCATCCGTGTATAAACTGGATATGACGTGTGGAGGAGAAGTATATAAAAACTGTCTTATCACATAGTTGTCTATTGACCTTTGACCTCCAATAACTAGATGAACAATACGTTTCAATGTGGAATACCTCCTGTACGTCACTATCTTTTGGAATACGGTAGATGAAATGCGGCTGTGGGGAATAAATAATGCCATTTTTATATATTTCGGCGCGTGTCTTAGTATGGACAGCTATACGTAGAGGCGCTTATGGGTTTAGAATACTGTTACCAGACCCAGAGAGACAGGTGATATAAAACACCACGCTTTCTTTGTGCTTACCCACGTTAAACTACTGTCCTAGAAACTTATTTTCTCTCTCTCTCTCTCTCTCTCTCTCTCTCTCTCTCTCTCTCTCTCTCTCTCTCTCTCTCTCTCTCTGTCTCTCACACACATCTGATTGTACAATATTTTGGTACCAGCTCTGATTTTACTCGTAGACCAAACAGTTGGCAGCCCTGTGTACTCTCAGGACCAAGAGGTTAGGTCTGTTTTTCACCCCAGGGGTTTACTATAAATAATCACAAACTTTACAAAACTTCCGGTGGAGTGACGTGGCCTGTCGGCTCATGATGACGATGGATACCCTCCGCCAAAATCGCCAAAGTTACGACTCGCAAACTAAGGAGTATATCACTTTTAAGGGGAACTCATTTTGGCGATACAACTGGCACGCCATTTTTTTTTCACTGAAGCGAATGGAAATATTTTTGGTTCATTAGTGTATTTGTGTTACTTGTAAATTATTGGATTAAAAACAATAACAAAGGTTTATAGCATTGTTCTAGTCATGTTTTCAACGAATATTCCTTTAACTGATAATATATATAATTTTATTGTTTACTGAAATTTTAATTAGTATTTTGATCACTAATTCTACAGCCAACACCAGTTAGATCACCATCACTTTCCTTCCCGTCTCCATCTTCTTCACTGTCACCATCACTGCTGGAGTACACTATCACCGTCAACCCTTAAGATCACTCATACTCGTCTTTCTCCTAACCTTCACTTTCCTCGCTGTCACTATCACCTGTAGAGAACTTGAAAATAGGTTCTCAAATTGATCACTTCACCATTACCACCCTCATTACCGCCACTGTCACCATCAGTTGTAAAGAAATATAAGACCTTCAAGCTAAATCACATTCACAGTCACCTTCCTTCACCCCCTTGTTCACTATCACCGCTCCATGTTGATCACCTTCCTCCCTCGCCCCCCCCCCCCCCCACCACTTCCTACCCTACTTAGCCTCTCTTGCTCCCACTGTCTTCATTATCCTCCCCCCTGTCCCATATACATCTCGGTGCCTCCTCCTCCTCCTCCTCCTACTCCTCTTCTCCTCCTCCTCCTCTTACTCTTGTCATTCTTACCTCGACTCGTCAAGATGTGAAATAGGGATATATATATATTTTGTATTTGTTGTTTTTTTGTTTGTGTTTGTTTTTTTACATACAATTGGTAAACAAGATCTGGATGATGTTTTTTGTTTGTATCTTTATGGACTGATTTGTTTAGGTTTATACGGAGGTAGACGGAGTGGTGTGTGTGTGTGTGTGTGTGTGTGTGTGCGGAGCAGTTGTGGTACGTTATGATGCTTGAATAATATCATACATGTGAATATTCATGGCCAGACAGCTACACACACACACACACACACACACACACAATAATCTGTTTTAAACTTATGTTACTACTAAACATTTTAATCACATCTCAATTACAAAACATTTCCTGTGTTTTATTTTATATATTTCTGTAAAAAAAAAAACACGTCAGATTTTAGTCTCCCTCTCATCCAGTTTTACGCTACTGTATGATCCTTTACCAAGAAAAAAAATATATGTACTGTGTTTTTGTGTGAATTCCGCTAATTATCACGTAGCAAGAATTAATTGGATTTAAAACGTTATAATGATGTTTGATATTTAGAGTTTTTGTCATAAAGTTCAGTTGATATAAGTTTACATGTTATAAATTCCATAGCAGTGATTTCTTTATCATTTGGTTTTACGTTTGAAGTCAATTATGGTGATATATTTCTCGGACTGTTTATGTGTTGATGGCTGGTGTATTAATGACTTGGAATATGTGCTTAAAGACCTTTGTTGTTGACGCTGAGTATTATAACATCATTTAATCCTTCTTTATCATGAAGAGATACGTAGGAATTACTCTGCATTATAATTACTTAATATCTTGTATTATATGACAGGTTCACTGATTATCTGAGGATTATACACGCACTTCAGCTCATATCACCTGATGATTATACACCCGAATGGTCTCCTAACTTAACCTATCATTTATATATTGTTGAAGTTAGGGTTTGTCTTTCGTCTACTTCTCTAAGTACACTTAAAATTTATATTTTTGGTTTGGTTTATTTTACAAGTGTTAAAACATAGCAGTTTGATGATAAGGCTCCCTCTTAGCTCTGAAGACGATGTTGTTCGACAATCGTAACGTCAGTAATGTTTTAACTTGTAGATATTTTTCATCGTAGCCTTTTGGTCTTAACCTTCATGTTTAAGAGGTTGTAAATTCCCAGTTGAACATCGATCGTTGATACTACACACACACACGCATATAAGATAGGTAGATAGATAGCTAAATATAGGTAGGTGGTCACATATTTGTACACAGGGTGAGTCCGGGTTCAACAAACAGAGAGCATTTCACGGTACACTGATTTCCATCATTCAAACGATTTGCGCGCGCTTTCACAGGCCTTAATTTTTAAACGAAAAAATAAAAACTTTATTTACAAAATGTAGCATAACTCGATCATTGTCCATAAATAAAGGAAAATTATAAAAAATGGTTCGTGATATATTTTTGGTGTAAGGCTTTATAATCCACAAAACACTAAATGAATCGAGTCCACAGGTGAAATTGCTGAAATTCAGTGTTTACTGGAAAAACTCTTCCGCTTGGAGAAACCTACACAGAGGCTCCAGGTCTTGTTTGTAGGATTAAATCCCACCTAACCTAACCTAAATGTAATGTAATTTAATGTAGCGCAACTTGAACTGACTTAACCTCACCAAACAAGATTAGCAAACCTATTCTAACTTTAACTTAACCTAACTAAACGTACGTAACTTAGCATTAAAGAAACCTAAGTTTCCCATTAATGGACTTGAAGTAACTTAATCTTATGAGATTTTGCCAATACTACTACTACAACTACTACCACACACATCTTCACTACAACCACGACACTAATACTACTACTACCACACACATCTTAACTATTATAACGAGACTACTACTTCTGCCACTACTACTACTTCGTGGCCTCCAGCCTCCCCCAATAGCCACACCTTCGCCACCATTTATTTACCTTAATATTAAATATCCTAATACATAAGAAACTATCCTATCTGTGTTAAATTAGTTGAGCCGCAGATCGATGCGGCATTCAGTGACTGTAGCCTCATAGTCGATATCTGCAGCAGTTGTCGGAATTGGGGCAGAAGCTCTCGTTCCCCTGAGGCAGAGCAAAGCCGACCGAAGGAGAGAGAAAGACAGTCGACATCTCATCCAGGCTGTAACATAACTTCTGGGCTGCTGCTTCTGTTCGGAGATCACCTCTGCGAGTCTGGCGTAGAAACATCTTGCACTTGGTCCCATCCCACCAGAGGTTGTGAACACAAGAGGAGTGAAGCTGCCTTGATCGACATTTTGAATTCTCTCCCCATATGCCCTTCTCTTGTCGTTCTCGTTCCTCCTATGTGCAGCATCGAGAGCTAGGTTACGGTGACATGCGGCCATGGGATAAAAAATCCTGATGTCGAAGAAGGCTCGCTGTCCCCGCGTCCAGAATCCTCGAGCACTGACGTCCACACGGGCTTCGTTAGATGTGTTTGAAGTCCTGTGTTGGAAGATCTCGCCATCCAGTGGAAGGAGGGTCGGTTCTACCATGACGTCCCGGCAGATTTCCTTCAACATATTTGCTGTGAGATCCCTTACCTCGTCATGCCTCATGCATATGAAGCCCCCCTTCTTGCAAACCATGGCGTGATCGCTATCATAGGAATAGCCACACACGCATTGGGAGGGCAAACCATCTACTGGCCAACCGTACCTTTGAGCAATGGCATCTGTAAATTCTTGTTTATTAAGACTGAAACCATTTGCCCTTATCGGTAACATAGTTAACCAGTTCGAGGCGATTTTGTTCTGCGGTGTCAAGAGGATTTTATCCGTGGATCCCGAGTTTATTAAACCCCGCTCTGTAACCTGTATAAGTCTGTTAAGTGTTAACTAAGGCATTGGGGGGCGTTACGGGATACCCTCACACACGTAGGCTACAGTACACGTCACAGCCAAAGCCTATGTGACCAGGTATTTACACGGTGATTATAGGTGACACCTCACACCGTGACCACTTACGACAAGCCTGTGTGGCCTTCAACTTAGATTGTGTCCTCTGTTGACGAGCCTGTGTGGCTTGGAACCCAAAGCGTGGCTTGTTATGTGTTGGGCCTTTATGGCCACTTGTGTTAGGTCTTATGGCCAGCAGCTAAAAGTGTGCCTACCCGTGATAGATCTTCACGGCCAGGAACTCAAGAGTTGGGCCACTTGTGAGATACAGAAGAGACATCCCCGAATAACTATCTCGCCCCATTACCAAGAAGGGCTTAAGGTTTGTTACAACATTAATATTGGCATTTTTCAACTAACCTTCAACGAGCGGGTTGTTCCCGTCTTTATCCCCAGTTTTCCGGGTGGGCCCTCTGGAACAGAAAGAGAAATATACATTACAAAACCGAAGCACACAAAGATCACAAGCCTTCATTCTTGACTATCTCCGACCAGGAGTTAAGGAGAATTTGGTAGTGATGCATTCCGTCTGTCTGTCGGTCGGTACGTCCGTCTTTCGTTTCGTTAGCTTTCCAAAGAATCAATGGATTGGTAGTAAATATTGTTCTGAAGAGGTGTAATGACTTGTTCTGGATGAATGGGTGTTGTTGCTAATCTATTTGATTGTAATGCTAACCCCTTGTGTACGGGTTCCCTTCTAAGCTGAATAAAAATCGTCTCGCGTTAACCAAATGAAATGTTAAAAGTGGCGCCTCCGTAGTGAAAGGGTTAAAAGTCCTTTAGTACGATTAGTTGAGGCTGACCTGTACACTCAATGGATTTATTTTAATGTCGGTGTAAGAGTGCATTAAGGAAGGTTCTTGGATGTACTGGTAGCCTTGCTGTACCCGCCTGTCGCCGTGAGATGGAGGTCCGTTCAATAACTTCTCCCATAACACTAAATGAAATCATTGTCCCTCCAGCCGAAAGTCCGGAGGTTTATAACAGGGAACCCGTCCTTCTGTTAGTTCGTGATAAATTTCGTTTCCGCTCGATAACTATTCACAGACTCAATGGATTAACGTCAGGTTTACTGTGAAGGAGTATTAGGGCAGGTTCTTGCTCGAGGTTGTTGAGCATGTTGTTAGCCCGAGTCGTTTTAGAGGTAGAGTCACTTTTGTATGGGGGATGCGCAATTTCCATTAGACCTTGTTATAGATTGCTGGTGAGGCACAGAGGACTCGTCTGCCGGCAGTAAGACGGATGACTCACTCTCAAAGGCCGAAGTCCACTTAGATATCTACGATGAATTTTTCTCCACTTCTTGTTCATTTTCTTTGTTTGTTTTTTCCTGGAGGGAGGAGGTCTAACACTAATGGAGTGGTGTAATAAATATTTAACACTCTGTTACGTTATCAGGTTCTATCTAAGGAAATTTCACATCTGTGCTTTATTTTCCTTCGGCTTTCAATCGGTCTTGTTTACATGGTCTCGAGTGAATGACAGTCACATTCTATTCAAGTATTTTTCGTTTGAAATTATCGTGTTATTCGCCTCTCGTGTTACTCAGTCTTCCAGCTTTCATGTTGGAATATTTCGTGCATGATCAGAGACGGGAACTTAGTTAAATTATTTTATTCATTGGTGCCACACGCAGAACGGTGACGCCATTTCTCTGGTACGGTGTTCTTGTAACCGATTAAAATACACAGTTGTTTGGATATTCACTGCGTTGAAATAAATGAAACACTGGGATATTAAACTCTCCCCCCCCCCCCAAGTGTGTTCAGGGTTTGTGGTGGTGGTAGTGATGATGATGGTGGTGGTGGTGGTGGTTCAGAGAGATAGGATACTTGAGTTATGAAAACTTGTCATATATATATCAAAATAAATTGTCAATAAATGTATAAACTGAAGAATAAAGAACAACATAAGAACATAAGAACATTAGAAAGTGGGATACTGCAGGAGGCCGACTGGCCCACACAGGGCAGATCCCTTTCACACCCATCCCAGCACTTCCATGTGCCTATCCAACTTCGTCTTGAAGCTCCCTAGCGTCCCCGATCCTACTATAGCACTCGGTAGCCTATTCCACATATCCACAACTCTATTACCAAACCAGTGCTTGCCTATATCCTTTCTGAATCGGAATTTATCTAATTTAAAGCCATTTGTTCTAGTTATTTCGTTATTACTGAGCTTCAGAACATCTTCCATTTTACCCTTGTTAATCCCACTTACCCACTTGAACACCTCTATCATATCTCCCCTAACTCTACGCCTCTCTAATGAATGCAAGCCTAAGCTTTTCAGTCTTTCTTCATATGGAAGGTTTCTAATATTATGGATCATTTTTGTCATTCTTCTTTGTACTCTCTCCAAAGAATCTATGTCCATTCTATAATAAGGACACCAGAATTGAACCGCATAATCCATGTGTGGCCTCACTAATGCTAGGTAAAGTTTCAAGATAACGTCAGCAGTTCTGTTACTCACACTCCTAGATATGAACCCAAGAATCCTGTTTGCCTTGTTGCGAACGCTAATACATTGTTTTCTAGGTTTCAAGTCGTTGCTAACAAATACACCTAGATCTTTTTCACAATCTGAGTTTTCTATTTCCGTGTTACCTAGTTTATACTTAACGTTTGTATTCGTCTTCCCTATCTGTAGTACCTTGCATTTATCAGTATTAAAATTCATTTGCCAGTCTACTGACCACTCATGTAAGGTATCTAGATCTCTTTGAAGGTGTTCAAAGTCACTGTCTGAATTTATCACTCTCCCCATTTTGGTATCATCTGCAAATTTACTAATCCTACTTGTTATACCTAAATCAAGAAAGTGTCAGGAAAGTGTTAGAGACTCAGGTGGGTAAGAATCTAGGTTGTATCAGGAGGTGGGGAGAGGTGAGGTAGAGGGTGTGGTAAGAGGTGGGGAGAGGTGAGGTAGAGGGTGTGGTAGGAGGGGAGAGGTGGTGTAGAGGTTGTGGGAAGAGGTTGAGGTTGAGGGTGTGGTAGGTGGTTGGGAGAGGTGAGGTAGGAGGTGAAGACAGGTTAGACGGAGGGTGTGGCAAGAAGTGAGCACAGGTAAAGCAGAGGGTGTGGCAGGAGGTAAGGACAGGTGAGGTAGAGGGCGTGGCAGGAGGTATGGGCAGGTGTACCAGCACGCCACCAGCACACGCTTGACACACTCACGTCAACATTCCATAAAGTTGTAACATACTTTTACTGTACATCACTTCCTGGTCGAGTCCCGGGGGTCCTGACACGATGAAAAATGAATATCTTATCATTCATCATTTCTTGGATATGTCCTTAAGGACTTACACGAAAAGAAAGGTTTTGCAAAATCATGACAAAGTCTAGCAAAATGACAAAAACTAAGTTTAAACTATTATTAACTTCATATTTAAAAGCGTCTGTCATGTCATTAGAGCAACAAAGGTTGTACATTTGTGAAAAAAATATATAACTACCTGTTCCTTTGTACTCTATTCATTAGGTGAATAATTCACTTCATTCTCAAGATCCTGCCTAAACAAAGGTTGGGCCAAGATTTTCTAGGGTTTGCATGTTAAATTTTCCTCGTAAATGATGTGACGGTAACACCGATTGACTGTTTTAAACACAACATAAAAATAACATTAAAATAGCATAATAAATACACTCATATACGTTCTCTCAACACTAGCTAGAGGAACAACGTAAAAGAGTGAATCTGTGACTCCGGGTCCTGGGTTATATTGTTGATGGCTTCAGGGGCCAACGAACCCATTACACTGCCTCACACGAGACAGACAGCGGCGTCATGAATCCAGAAAATGTTGCATGATGAGAGAGGTATTTTCGTCCCACTGGCTGTCGACGAGTCACCAGCTAGTAGTTTTGAGTTTGTTAGTGTTTGTCTGGTGCTGTATGTGAGGCTGTTGACGGTCTGTATTTACCCTACCATTGACATGATCGTATCACCCTGGCTCATAACTCCGATCCTGGCCGTCCTGACACGTACCCTCCTGACACACACACACACACACACACATCATTATGACACGTATTCTTTATCACTGACCATCCTGGTACGTACCCATGACACCTGACACAACACGTTCGAAATAACAAGTTAAAAGGTTCATCACAACTTACAACCCTCAACTCCCAAGATGAATTTACACCTTTGAATATCAACTTATCTCTTGAAATCACAAGTTTAGTTCCGTAGTTAAAATGTTGAACTCATAGGTTTAAATACCCTACTGAAAATTTAAAACGTACAGCTCTTAATATAAAACGTTCAAATACACAGCGAACAACTCACAGACGTTGCTCACACCCTCTCACACGATCGCTCTTGGGATATTATATGACGGCTATACCAATAACACCCACAGTCGTGCTTGTAGTGAATGTAAACATGGGTCACACGACAGGGCTCTCCAAACAATAGCAACAGCGATGACACCACAGAGATTACTGATACCAATGTTCTTATTTTAAAACCTTCGGACATTAAATCCCCCATCCCAGTAAGTTTTAGATATGAGAACGTATTATCTAGCTGTTTCTCGTAAGGTACAACACATAGAGTAAAAAAAAAAAAAAGTGTCTTTCGAAATCTCCCCGAGGAACTGTCGTAACTAGATGGGTGTTTGTATTTGCAGTTGAAGTGGAAAGTTGAAGACACGAATCTTTAGAGAATTCGGGGAACCAAGTGTGCGTCTCCATCCACTCTTGTTATGGTCAGACGGACAGAGGATAGAGGATCAGTGGTTTATTGCCTGCCTCCACCAGACCACTCGTTGAAGACTTGAACACAACTCTCCTTCCCCGGGCTGATGGGATGGGGATAGGAGGAGCAACAGTCGTACAAACAAAATTAAAGGTTGAATTTAACCTTTGCACTGGCTATCAGGAGACGAAATAGAGATGGACAGAATGAGGGAGAGAGTTAAATAGATAGTTAATTGGATAAGTGTAGGAAAATTCGTAGACAGGAAGAAACAGGAAAAGAGAAATGAAAATCAGTTTGTAGAGCAAGATTAAATTTGGGAACAGACACAGACAAACAGGGAGAAAATAACGAGATTTAAAGATAGACGACAAGAAAGAAAGAAAGAGAGAGAGAGAGAGAGAGAGAGAGAGAGAGAGAGAGAGAGAGAGAGAGCATAAATACTAGAGACAGGATGTGAAGGGGAAGTTATCAGTCAGGTCACAACCTTCCTGCACCACACAAACAGCGAGTCATCTCCCTCTATTACATAACTGACCCCACTTCACTTCCTATGTGTCGGGGCGATGATGACCACTAGAGGCAGGCAAAGGGGGAGTAGAGGTTGAGGAGGAGGAGGAGGAGACCTGGAGAGGGAGAATAGAGCTCGGAGTAGAGGTTGGATAAGGCGAAGAGAAGAGAAAGGTCTGGCGAAAATGGGAAG